TATAAAGAACAACGACCGTTTTCCAGCCACTATGCTGGATTTCCGCGATGGCCTCTACACTCAAGACGCGTTCCTCCTATTAAGATAGGAAGTTATGAGCTTTGTACCGATGGGAGGAGAACATCTAATACCAGCCCTTGATTTAAAAGAAGCACTCGAGAGTATCGCATAAGGCCATCCTGTCAGTACTAAACAAAATCGGATGTTGGACAAACGCTTACAATTATATAAAGGTTTTCCTCACAGAGAGGCGGGCTTCAATAGGCGTAGCGCAAGTCACGCGGACGCTTTTGTGATGCCAAACAAAAGTACCCCTCAAAACGTCATCCTCTTTGTCCTGCTCTTTAATATCACCATGTTAGAACTCTGGATGTTAGAACTCTGGCGAACTCTAGATGAAGTGCCGCAGCTAGGATACACACTCAATTCGGAATATATCACCCTATGGGCAACGCGTGGATCTCTGGCTACCAAAGAGCAGGCACTTCCAGAGGCTGCAACAGAAGTTGCAAACTTTGCCAGGGCCAGTGGGCTCAGCTGTGCCCCAGAAAAATCTGAAATCATCAAGGTACATAAATAAAAATACAAAAGTAGTGCACACTATTACATACACATTGAAGGTGTCAAAGTACGTAAGGTAACCGTCACACGTATTTTGGGTTTCAGGGTTCAGAGTAACAGACGAGCGAACCATACAATAAGCTATAAAATCAGCCACAAAGGTAGTTTTCATTTCATTTCATTTTATTTTAGTCAAGGCAAAGTCATTACACTTTGCCTTGGGGGACGCGACGAAAGGCTTAATAAAGTTACACGAATTATCTAGAGAATAACACACCACAAATATAGAATGAAGGAAGAAGGCACAATTACATTAGTACAGGCATCGCACTGTGTAAGGGTACGTACAGTCTACATTTCCACGCGTTAAACAAATCAGAAGAAACCATCGAGGTTATAATCAAGTCTGCCTACAAGGTGGCCCTAGGGCTACCAGTAGGTGCACCGACTCAAAAGCTATTGAACCTCGGTATATCTAACACATACCCTGAACTAAAGACAGTGGTACAGACTGCGCGGAGAAATTGACTAAGTCAGACGAAAGCGGGGAGAGAGATACTCGCTAAGGTGGGCTTTCCGCCATATCCCGAGAACCTTGACAAGGTTCTTGCAAAAATCACGCATCCCGTCTCCAGCAAGACCACGATCTCGCCATTGCCCAAGAACATGGACATCAAACAGATTGCGCGGAGAGCAGAAAGTGCAGTGGCTCCAAAAATCCTTGAAAAATAAATCAAGCATTTTGTATGTTAACGCTTTGAGGTTTATTTGGAATGATCAGTTTCATCGGTACTTAGCAACGTTAACAGCATCGTGGCATGTGCATCACTCTACACGTCCTCGATCACCAAGGCGGAATGCTTTGCCGTTGGCCTAGAAGTCAAAGTGCAAATACAGAGAGATGAACAGCAGGCAATTTTTATCTCCCACTCGTAGAAAGCGTGTGGTTTCTTTTTAAGAAGCCGCATTCCGATAAAAATAAAAAAAACTCTTTGGCGGGATAATGAAGAGTGAATACAGGCTGATCTCGTGCCCAGGACACGCAGGCCTGGATGGAATTGAAAGTTCCGATGCTTTCGCTCGTGGGCTCACGAACCGAGAAGTGCCTCGATAGCACTTTCAATCCTTTAAAACACTCCAGGAGGAAGCTAACAAGAAAAATAATGACCAAACCAAAATAGCTCCTCGCGAAATTCTTACTAACCAGCAAGGCATGCGACAAAAATACAGCCTCCCCCACGAATCTTGAGAAAGGCAGGACGCGATTCACTCCTGCATAATTACAACGGGAGTCTTTCCAAACCTTCCAAAATTACCAAACATTTTTCCAATGCTGTATGGATGTATTTCTGTGAAGTGGCCGCTCGCCATCACTCTACCGCATGTCGTGGAGATGCCTAAATCGACCAAAAAATTTAGATACCTATTTAGGTCAGTACAAACTTTCTAATACTTTCGAGCAATTGGAGGCACAGCTTGCCAGCTCTGACAAAGAAAAGCAGCTTGCGCTTCTGCGTCATGTCAGGCAGGCGGTAGCAGCCAGTGCAGCTTGGACTTGGGTTCTCTCCTATCGAGCTCAAGACCTCTTTCCCAAACATTCGCGAATAAGCTTTTTCAATCCTTCTTTCTTCAATGCAACCTTGTGAAGGGAACAGAGCACGCAACGGTGATAACAAAATAAGCCAGACCTTAAACAGGTGCAGCACCGCGTTTGTCTAATTTGCGCCTTTCTTCGTCCTTGTCTTTAACTGCGCTGTGCCCTTCGCTATGTTCTACCAACACGCTCAAGTGAAAAAGCTGGGTACGGCACTTCCACGAATAGTTCTGCCGAAGTCAGGTATAACTAATGCTACGTTGGGAAGTATTTTTTAGCAGATTTTGTTGCAAGCAATGCCCGTATGCAAAAACAACAGACACATTGAAATTCTTTATTAGAGCACCTAATTAAAATAAAGGCGCACAAAAAAGACGGAGACAAAGAAGAGAACCACACACAGCGCTGCACTCACAACTGAAAGTTTAATCCGAGCAACAAGAATTTAAAAAGTAATAGCCGCGCATGACAAGTGAGGTACAACGAGATTAAGTGATACGCTCATCAATAAAAGTGAACTCTTTTTTGTGCAATGTAACCGAGGTCTGGCTTACGCAAGCATCACGTGACTTGTTAATATGATAGGCTTCAGACACCTCACGGGTGAATTGATCGTGGTGCTTAAAAATAATAACAGTGTTAGACAGAAGAGGTGTGCACCCACACGTGGCACAATGCGAAGCTAAATGGGAAGGCGTGCCGTTATGCAAAGAGAGATAGTGCTCCCGCAGCCTTTTATTGATACAGCGGCCCGTCTGTCCCACATAATGAAGGCCACAAGATAAAAGAATGCGGTACATCACCCCCACAGCACAAGGCACATACTTATATCTATGGTTTACGGCACATTTCTTTACATCTGGCTTGTCCTTCTTGTCTTGCTGATTGGACACCAAAGCACATATCTTTCCCAATTTATTGGGTGCCCCAAAAACCACATCAACTCCGTAGCGGGAACCAACATTTTTTAACCCATGTGCCAGTTTATGCATATAAGGAATTACTGCGAACTTCATTTTTTCCCGATTGAATTTCCTAGCTGCACGTCCTTTTAAACCACCAATTAACTTATCGCAAACAGCCACAATTATGTTAGGGGGGAACCCTGCTTCCTCTAGTCTTGCAACTTGCTTAGCAAAACCAGAGCCCAACATATGCCTGCACGATTTTTCTAGAGCGGATTTAAGGCAGGTGAAAGCGATGCCCCTCTTTACCACCTTTGAGTGGGCTGATCCAAAATTAAGAATTGGTTTCACTGATCGTGGCTCAAAACACCAGCAAATATGGGAACTCTGAAACCAAAGTTTAAGATCAAGAAATTGTAGACAGTCAGATTCTGGAACCTCCGATGTGAAGGACAGACCCATTCCTTCTGTCCTGAACACCTTCAACACATCGGAAACATTATTCGGGAACGTGGCATCCTTTACAACAACTAAAAAATCGTCCACATATCGCAAAATACGCATCACAGTTCCGCTTAGGATTGTGTCTACAATGCGATCTATTTTGGCTAAAAAAATTTCACAAAGGACAGGTGCAACGCACGAACCTATACAGACTCCTGATCGCTGGATTAGGGTCTGCCCTCGCCAACCACGATCAATTCACCCGTGAATTTTTAAGCACCACGATCAATTCACCCGTGAGGTGTCTGAAGCCTATCATATTAACAAGTCACGTGATGCTTGCGTAAGCCAGACCTCGGTTACATTGCCCAAAAAAGAGTTCACTTTTATTGATGAGCGTATCACTTAATCTCGTTGTACCTCACTTGTCATGCGCGGTCGGATTAAACTTTCAGTTGTGAGTGCAGCGCTGTGTGTGGTTCTCTTCTTTGTCTCCGTCTTTTTTGTGCGCCGCTTTTCTTTAAATATGAATACACAACAACTCGCCCAACTTTCTATTCTGTTACACCTAATTAAAGTTTTGAAATGCGCACTCTGTCGTGGAACATCATATGTTAAAAAGTATGATAGCAGCAAGTACCTGATCTCAAAGCAAGATTTTGAATAAAAAGTTCACAGCATCTTCACAGAGTGATTCATGACGAGTGGTGCAAAGAGTCTGTCGATCTGTCTATCCGTCTGTCTGTCTGTTTGTCTGTCTGTCCACCCATTCGTCAAAACAACTGTCTGCCTGTCAGCTTGTCTGTCTGTCTGTCTGTCTGTCTGTCTGTTTGTCTGCCTGTCTGTCACTTATAAGAAATTGTCAAATATACGAAAACTACCAACGCCATTTCCTGATATTATTTCTAAGTTCTCACTTTAGAACGAATACACACAACGCCATCTAACGAGCTCTTCATGAGCTAAATGTGGCTACATACTACTACTACTACTACTACTACTTCTACTACTACTACTACTACTACTACTACTACTTCTTCTGCTACTACTATGAAGGAAGGAACAAACCATGCCCTCAGAAGCTTCGCCCTTAAAAATAATAATAACACAGCCCACTGCTATGGCACTGCGGTAAAGTGCTTGCTTGCTTGGCAGAACGCGTGGGATCAAATTCACCAACAACAAGGCTTTTTCTTCGCACTGTGTACCCTAGATTCCATTCGACGCCAGCCCTGGCACCGAAAGCTATGCAGAAAAATTGGTTGCTGTTGTTGTTGTGAGTTCATAATAGCTTACGCTGTAAAACAAAGTAGAGAGTGCGATGCCGGTTGCATATGATAGCAATTCTTTTGATGCTGCTAAGCAAGTATTCTTACTTTATCAGATGCATTATACGCACCAATAATACTAGGTAAACCAACTAATCGCAGTGATTTCGTTGGCTCAGCGATGCAATGCACAACGTTGAAAAGTAAATTAGCATGAAACATACATACCTGAAAAGTTGAGGAACGGGGTCCAACCAGTGAAAGAACCCATGCACCAGCCGCATATTCAGCCATACGTAAGAAGAATGGAGGCCTGGTTGGTGCAAAATAGAGGCGAGACATCACGTATGTACACAAAGCACAGACGATCATAACGAATGTTGCACTCAATGCTACGTTTGTAGTTTTCGCTTTGAAATAGCTAAAACATGTGGTTAACTTTATGACTTCAAAGAATGAACTTGCGACTTGCCAATAAATCCTATTATGACTCACAACTTCATCATTAATTTAGAAACCTATTTTCCTCTCAACTTTACACATTTAGGTGGACAGTCAACGATTTGGTTGATTTCAGGTAAACTCCAGATAAACTCCAGATAAACTCCATCGAGCAGGAACCGGACGTCCGTGGTGGTACGCAAGCATGACCTTTGCGATTCCTAGCTCAATAGCTCGATGCAGGAGAAAAAAAAAGGCTGCTTGGTAACCTATTGTTGAACAGCCGGTGGTTTGCAAAAGACAGGATTGTGAAAAGAGAGACAAGCGGCGTGGGACTTCCTCATGAACAAATAAATTCCTTAAGTTGTGCCAGCAACGGCGCCTGGTAAGAGCTCACCACCAAGCTGGACCTCTGCATCTCATGAAGAACAGTGAATGCTCATCTAAAGCTGCCGATGAAGCTCCTCGTAGCTCTGGCACAGCGTTTTGACTTTGGCCACTGTGCCAGGATTTTTGACAAGCAGCATCATTGTCAATACCTTTCATGACCTGCCACATTTTGTCAGACTCAGATATGGTTCCGTTCGCTTTCTTACACTGGTCGAGGACATCTTCAATATAAGTGGTGAACGACTCACCAGCCTGCTAACAGCGTTCGCGTAAGCGCTGTTCACTTTGCAGCTAACGAATGGCAGGGAGGCCCAAAACGTTGATGACGAAGCTCTTGAAATCGCACCAAGTATACAAATCGGATGCGTGGGTTTTTGTACCATAAACTCGCCACTCCAGCAAGATATAATACTGAGTTGGTCAATTGTCGCCGTCGTCCCATTTGATGGGTACACGCATGCCTTTATATAGTGCGAGCCAGTCCGCTACGTGGGTACCATCAACGCCAGTGACGATGGGTGGATCGCGGATGCGTGCGACACAACAAAGAGTGGGTGGTAGCGGGGGGATGCACTTGCTGAAAAGCGTCTTGGGGCAAGATAAATGGCACGGTACGAAATCGAAGCTCCACGGGCATTGAATGGGAGCACCGCACTCTCCACCAATTTGTTACGATGTTTATTAGCCGGCACTCAGCGACAACATGCAATGTCGACAGTAATGACCAGGCACGGATTATAGCACGAGCAGTGTTGTTGCAGAGATGACGCACAAGAGGGCACTCGAAAATGATACCCATTTCAAAGTTCCGTTGCTTCACTGCACTCCATTATTTTTACTTAGCCTCTCAAGGGGCTAATCGAGGTAACTTTAGTTTAAGTAAGTAAGAAATCCGGGAGCATGAATTTCAGTCTCCTGTGTTCGGATGCCGTTTCCGGGTTCAAGGAATTCAAAAATATTACTCTTGCCTATTAAGCCAAAAAATTAAAACTGATGCACCGTAGAAAGAAGTTAATATTGAACGGCAGCACTTTCTGGGCTCCTGTGGCTATTCTAACGCTGCATTGTTTAGAAGCGATATCTAACAGAAGTTTGCGGCTTCGTATAGCGCCATACTTCCAAGTACCCACAGAGTTTCGAAGCATAGTATGAACCTTGTGACATATATTGGCCTTCATTTGTAATGGGGAAACATTTTTTATTGTAATCACGTTCTGAAAGTTTTTATCACTTTCAAGCTTATGTAGACCTTCGTTGGAGCATCGTTCACGTAATGTGAGCGCCTGCAGTTTTGAGTGGCTGCTACGAGAAAAAGTGAACTCAAGAACGACAAAACTTGCCGCATTATTGACCGCGCTACGCACTTGTTTTTTTAACATATTCTTTGCAAACATGTCTAGCACAATCATTTTCAACAATCAACATCCGCACTATGGCCGTGTTACGGCAGCTGGCCGAGTTGGTTGCATTAGCTGCATTGCAACTTGTAATGAATTCAATTCATGCGACGGAGTCACATTATATTGTACTCGAAGATGTAAGGGTTCACGAAGGTAATGCTATTTCGATCTCTCTTGTCTACTTCGATTTGTCACAAGCGTTTCTTAAGGTCCATCTATAAAAAGTATTTTGCGTTGTGAAGTCAATCCTGGGTGTCGTCTATTCTGAGAAGAAAGACACGTCCTTCTTCGCGATTTTGATATGTTCAGGTGCTATCAGTTGACGCTGAAGTGTACTGTTCCGTTCTTCTCCACAAACACCACAAGAAGCGCCCACAAACTCCAGGATGGCTGCATAATGGCGTCTTGTAGCATTTCGTCAGCTTATTTTTTACACCATGTTGTTTCTACGGGCTCTGAGAAAGTGATCTCGCACTTTCATGTGTTATGATGCAATATTTTATGACTGGTGTTTGCCGAATTTTCGACAAAGACGAAAAGCATCGTCGAAATACAGAAGCAGCTAGAGCTTTGAGATCGTCTTGCTTGCTGTTGAGAAGAATCGAGTTGCGGTTCAAACCTGGTTGAGTAGGCTGGGGTGTTAGAGTCAGATTGGCAGATTTGCTGACAGTAAAAGCGCTGGAGGCTTCCGAACGTTCTTTGATGTGAACGATCATCATGTCTTTCCTCACGTGCTTGTACTCAATACAGACTTCGTGAGCATCACTACTACTTTCCTTCTATGCAGCTCAGTCATTAGTCTTCAATGCAAACATCTAGGTTGACCACCAGGTGCTTGTGGCCTTCAACAACACTTCGAAGACTTCTGGTTTTAGAGTGCTGACGGAAATGATGACGCTGGAGCGAGATGAATTGGTGACTTCTTAATTGTGCACATTCAAGCCGTGGTTCCATCACCGTGCGCGTGGTGGTGGTGCTTCTTCTGTGGATAGTATATTGACTTTGTTCTCAGATTGATGACTGCCCCAATGAGGCAAAAGCAGTACATACCAAGGTTGACGTCTCTCGAGCAATGATGTACTGCGAAGATTGCGGGATAAATCAAGCTGTTAATTGTGATTGTGACTGTGCGCATTCCCACCACAACTGTGAGCGTTGTGGTGGTCCTTGTTACCACAGGGCCCCGGAAATGTAGTCCGCCATGTCGCGACGCCGTTCACCTAGCTGCGGAGGCGTAGCGTCGAGAGTGAGAGGAAACTGCGTAGCACCATGTGTCAGTACTTGCAGTGGCGTTAAGTGTTGCCGGCGGCCTCGCAGTGTTAGCAGAGCGGGTGGTTTTGGGGGGCGCGCTACACGTCGCTCTTCTTTGGAGCGTTGCGCTGGCCGACAGGATAGCACTAGGGTGTCAGTGGTGGTGGTGGCTGCATTAGGCGGTGGTGCTGCAGCCGTTCGGCGCCTTCGCATTAGCGCAGAGGGAGAGCATTACAACGCGCTGCAGCCGCGTAGCTGATGGCTTGTGGTTCAGACTTGACTGCCTCAAGTGCTTCCAGAACTTGCTTCGCTTCCAAGCACATGATGTCGGTGATCGCCTACCGCTTAGGATCATAAGAAAAAGGGCACGACGCACGTGCAAAACGATGGAATAAAGCGATGGCGCTTGAGGCCCCTATGGTGTGCATACCCTCAACGTCCATATACGGGATTGGTTGGAAGAAAACTTGTGGCGCGTGACCTGAGCCGTGGTGGCGAATTTCAGAGCAAAAAAATAGCGCTGACTTGTGGGGCTTTGAGCAACGATGATCAAGGAAGTCAGCGTCGCTATAGTTACAGAAGTACTAACCGCCCGGTTATGGAGACTGTCGGCGTGAGAGGCCCGGGGAGTGGCCGTCAACATCGGTATACCCGATTAAAGATTCCCAGTCTTGCCTCACCTCTTCACCGCATTTCTCAGTTGGCCGACAGCTCTTTCACTTTGTACCAGGCAGACACAAGGCAGTCATCGGGGTGCACCGTCATCGATTGGGTCTGACAGCATGAAACTATGGTCAATGAGGAGTTAAGCTTCAACTGGCTAGGCAGAAGACGACGAAGACGACAAAGTCAATGGAGATGAATACAGGTGATTCGTTTGGCAGAAGCAACCGATGAACTAGAAGAGCCGTCGACCTGGTAAAGGCACGGAGTCGAGGCCGTGAACTGTAAGAATATTTTTATACAAAGATTATATATTGCCTATATTTTGGTTAGGGCTAGAGACGGACGTACGCTGGATTACAGACGGTGTTTGTAGAGGTTTTATTATTCGACTAATTTTTAGTGTTCGCAAGTACTTGTTTTTTCTTATTTTTTCGATCGTGTTTTTCTTGCCACTACTATCTGCTATCCGCGTCTCTCTCAATTTTATTCTTTGAAAGTAATCCCATTATATAGAAATACACTGAGGCTACAAAGATGGCAACAATTCCAGCAGCTCTTCTTAAACGGTTCTTGAGATACTTTTGCGAAGGTCGCAGGAATGCAGCGCTTGAACCTTTCCGTAGATCGTGTGGGAATGCATAGATTGTACTGGCTGCTACGCAATTCCAGCGCTTTTTGAATCGTCCAGGCCACCAAGACAATTTTCGTGACCGTCTTTGTCTGGTTCCATACAAGACTAGCAAACAGGCATTGGTAACGCGACACATCAAGAAGCAACACCTTTGGAATTATTAAATGCGAAGCATTTCTTAGCGAACTTCAGCGACTTTGAGCGTATGTATCTATCTAGCCGCCTTCGACTTTTAGCTCTCCTGGCTGTTTCAATAATGATATCAATACCAAACTTGGTATGGTACACCATGACTGCATGAATAACATACTTGGCTAGCCATACCATGAAAATCATGAAATGTTTCTCATGAATATCGAGATTTATGTTTCATGGTTCTGCAGCTCATGCAGTCGTTTTGTTCACATGGCATGTTGTAAAACTGGTATGGTATGACATGATTGCATGACGAACACTAGCGAAAGACCCTAACATGAAAATCATGACATGCGTGTCATGTAACAATATGACTACAAGCTAAGCTCATTACGCGCTCGTGGCCGTTTCGCTAGCGTCACATATACCAAATTTGGTATTACAGTACGTGAATAGATGACAAAGGTATGCTACTGGTGCAAACATGATAATCATGAGATTCATGTCATGTGAGAACATGAGTCCATGTCACAGTCAAGGCGCCAATACATTTCGTCATGACGTGGTGTGCGTGCTCGCCGGCGTTCATTTCTTCGCGTCACGCCGGCATTTCCACGCCAGGCGCTGGTCCTGCCATATACTCGCAGGCGCGCACCGTGCTGCGGTGCTTTGACGCATGTGCAGAAGGAGAGACGCAGTGTTTTCTTGGTAACGCATTGGCATATATTAATGTTTTTCTATGGCACGTGCGCGAATTGCAGCATGTTGCAATTCACGCGGGCTGCCGTCGCGCCGCACCTATGGATGCTGGTCGCGCCGGGCGTCAGACTCTGGAGTGCTCGCGTTCTGCTAACGCAGCGTCACTGTGCCCAGCGTGCGCGTGCGTGAACGCTAGAGTGGAGTATATTGGGCCCTTCATGATGCACACGCGGCCGTTTTGCTAGCTCCCCATATACCAAGTTTGGTGTTACGTGACGTCAATGGATGACAAAATAACGACTGGTGCATACATGATAATACTGACACGCGTGTCATGTAACAACATGGCAACATACCACCCTCATAGCGTGCTCGCGGCCATTTCGCTAGCTCCACATATACTAAATTTGGTATCACGTTACGGGAATAGATGGCGAAGGTAAACGACACGTCTAAACATGATAATCGTGACAATGAAGTCATGTACGGCATAATTTACCTCCACCTTGTAACGTATTGCTGATTTTGAAGTGACATATCCAAATTTCTTATTCATGCTTTGCATATAATCGATTCCCACTGTACGTGGGATCTGCCAGTTTATATTCTCTCATACTATGTGAACAATTTTCTGGTCAATATTACCATTATGTTAATGAAATGTTCTTACATGAACACTTTATTTAGGTAAGCATTGCTCCGAAATATTGCTATGAAGTTTCAAAAGGTTTGCTGTTCTCACCATGGCGCTGGAGCATCGCTGAAACATGGGACACATTCACAGCGGCTTGTAGATTTAGCAGGTACTTGTTGGTTCCGCAGTAGTCATGAGCTTCACCGAAGGTCATAGGTTCACCAACAAAAACTGTGAACCGCTGCTCGTCGTGACCACGGTCTTCCCCTAGAGGACGTTATGACAAGCTTTGCTTTAAGCTATTCAGTTTAAAAAACACAAGCCTACTATGAACATGCCTATTCTGTTTATTACTGCATGCCTTTTACAGTAAGGGAGAGCGAGAGAAAGATGATTGCTTGCGCATCAATAGACGGTATTAGTTTGGCGCCCACAGCAGCTATGCAGACGTAGTTTTTCAGTGGTGCGTACGTACAGCTGTTGTGGAGACACAGTCAAGTCTTTGTGCAACTCCACGGATTAGCAGCCAACTTCGTGTGTCAGGTTGACTCTTGGTTATCATGTCTTACGCTCATCTAGCCTATAGGCCCACTGCCACGATAACCAAATAAAACAGTTTTTATGATTTACATTTCCTGAGAGCTCGGTATAGCTCGAGTGCTAATGTACAGGCACAGGCAACAATAATGATTTAAAATGTCAGAGAGGCTCCCGCTGTGTAGTGCAGTGCACTGGTGAAAATATTTTGCCCTAATATACAAAGTCTCTTTAGCTAGCAAGTATCGAACAAATTGTGGCATCATCTGAGAACGAGGAAAAAAATTACTTGCCCATCGTTAGACTCTGCAAACAAGCATCAGTCTATAGTGAATTCCGAGTGGTGTTAATAACCAATTTCTGTACCGTGTCATGCGAACACGACGAGACAAATAAGAGGCATGCTGTAAAGGAGGGCTCGGCAATCTTTGATCACCTGTGGGCTTTCAAGAGTTCACCTGAATTAATGTACATAAATCTCTATGGCATTTCGCTGTCGTATAAACGCAACCACTGGGAACACAATCTCAGCTTCGACTTTCTAGTCAGCAGCCCAACTTCGTTCCTATTTTGCAGGTGCAACGACTCTCAAGACTGAAGATGCTTAGCTTAAAAAAAACTAGTTGGTAGGACAGCTATATGTGATGATTCTCTTCATGTGGCGATATTTTTTCTAATTGGTGCCGTTGATGCTATTCATTAACCTCTTCTAACACATACTAGCGAAAGAATTTCGAACTGCACGTGTCATTGAACGATCACAAGTTCGTTTCGATCAAAGAAAGTTGTCTTTTTGTCCACTTTCCTATCTTACCAATAATTTCATACAAATGTCATCCCCTGTGCTAAATTTCTCCTAATTTGCTGTTTGTTGAATTGAGAGCTTTTTTCATGAATAACACATATTCTTAAGTTTTCCTGTTCTCACTCATTCAAAGTGAGTAAGATTTTAAGAACTCTCGTGGGGCGTCAAAGAAAAAATGATGAAAGTGTAATAATTATGACCACCCTTATCTTTTGCATGGACGGCGGTGTCAAAAGTTTTTCTTTCACTTAAAAAAACAACTAAATGCCAATGCATTAAAAGTGATATTCGAATAATTTTGGAAGCATGCATTGCAGAATCACACCTTATTATGAAATGATTATTTATTTACTTACATACCAGTCAAGAACTTTACCTTGAAACTTTTAGAGAGTTTTACCTTAAACTTTTACCTTGAATAGGGCAATTCCAGCATTACAAACGTTTCGTTTTAATATAGCGAAGTTGTCAAACGCAATTTTTCGCAAATATTGTGCTTTTCAAGTCCAAGTATGCAATTCTCAGCGAGCCCCGCCTCGGTGGTCTAGTGGCTAAGGTACTCGGCTGCTGACCCTCAGGTCGCGGGATCGAATCCCGGCTGTGGCGGCTGCATTTCCGACGGAGGCGGAAATGTTGCAGGCCCGTGTACTCAGATTTGGGTGCATGTTAAAGTACCCCAGGTGGTCAAAATTTCCCGAGCCCTCCACTACGGCGTATCTCATAATCATATGGTGGTTTTGGGACGTTAAACCCCACAAATCAATCAATCAATCAATTCTCAGCGATAGCAACAAATGTTTCCTAAACAGGGCTGGGTAGAACAGGAGTGAATGCCTCACATTTCTTTAACTCTCTATTTTTTTATGTGTTCTCTGAAAGATTTGTGAAGTATTGATGTTTTCAAGTAAATTGGGAATTTTTTTCGCTATTCGTGCGAAGTGTCCGCCACCGTCCCTAATTATTCACTTGCACTCAAGCACTTTATTATAACGTTTTGTGAAGATAACGCGTATACTGTCCGTCCTTGGGAGTTCACGCCTGACGAAGGCACTTGAAAATTATCTCCTTCAAGTTACTACATGAAATGTGTATCTAAATGCTCACTGCGTCTGAGGAAATGGAAAACCTCAAATTGCTCGTTTCATGACCATTCCTCTGCTGTACTACAGCGTAAAACACTGACGATGGAATAACCAACTAAAGTAATATATTATGCCTTAACTAAGGAAGAAGGCCGCTCTGGCAAATTAGATCATATACCAAGGAAGCGGACAGTTTTTTTATATTACTTTATGGCTTTAAGGTAAAATAAGTGTTATTTTTACCAACTAGAAAGTTGCCCCTTGTAGCTTCTCATTTACACGTAAGCACCAACACCACCAGGATACAAAGGTACTCTTCGTTTACTCTTATCCTTAACTCTTTACCTTCTAGGCCTCTGAAAATTTTGTGTAAGCATGAAATAAATATCATTGGGGAGTTCATATCTACATTTTTACAGTCACCTTTATTGGTAATCTGTCGCTATCTATAAGGAGCACTAAGGTGGCGGTTGAAGCTTTGTAGATTTCTTGGAAGATGTTTCTATACTTTTCGTCGACGCCATAAATCTGCAATTTTTGCATGACTGCTGATATCTCTACTTAATCAAATGCTTTCTCATAATCTATGAAAGCAATGTATAGAGTTGTTGGGTTGATTCTGAGGATTGCTCTTTCACCTCATTGATAGTTTGAATGCGGGTGATTTTTCAGTAGCCTGTTCAAATATCTGCTCGTTCCTTTATTTAAGTGAATTCTAATGTTGTCTTAGGTCTGTTAGCAACTACCTTTTTAAATAGCTTCTATACAACGGAGAGCAAGCTGATCGGCCTGTAATTCTTCAAGTCCTTGTCTCCTTTCTTATGAACAAAGATGACGTTAGCATTTCTGAAAGATTGTGGTAACTTCCCTGTCAGGAGACACTTCGTAAACAGGGTGGCTAGATTTTCCAACACAATCTGTCCTCGATCTTTCAGTGGATCTTAGGTCGCCTGATCTTCCCGAGCAGCTTTGCCTCTGCATTTCATCCAAGGCATTGCTGACTTCCGTAATTACTGGTGCAATGTCATTGGCGTTCCTGCTAGTTCTTAGGTTATGGTCATGCTTGCCCCGGCTACTGTAGTGATCTCTGTAAACTAAGCATTATAATAACTGTCCTATCTATATTGGTAATTACTTTGCCTCCCTTGTCCCTCAGTGCGTTCATCTGGTTTTCGCCAATCCCAAGTTTTTTTTTCACCGCTTTGATGCAGCCTCCGTTCTTTAGAGAAAGCTCAATTCTCTCTGTGTTACACCTTTTTACATCGAATATTTTGCGTTTAAAATCAACTCTGAAGCACTGCACGTTCTATTCAGTGGGTTGTGTTTGACGCTTGCACGCTTTGATGTGCTTGAATAGGTATTCCGTATCCTGGGACAGCTTGCTAGTCTGCTGTCTAACTACCGTGCCTTCATCTTTCATTGCACACTCCGTAATAATACTCGTCACATGATCATTCATTGCGTCAACGATAAGGACAGTTACATCAAAATTTAATTACCTGGTAACGCAATGGACGAAGTGCAATTCATGATTACTTAATTAGACAGAAAAAGCAGAAAGGTAATTCTGGCTTCAAACAATCTGCAGAAAACAAATTTAACTTACAACAACCTCGAAAGAAAACAGTGATTCCAATTAGGTAGAAGTGCACTTGAAGCTGTAAAATAGTAAGACTACATAGAATGGATAGTCAACGCGAAGCCGAATTTTGAGACTAAAGTAGCTACAAGAATCATATTGGGGTGGAGCACATTCCGCAAGCATTCTCAAATCATGATAGGTAGATTGCATGTATCCCCAAAGAAGAAGGCGCTGCCGCAGTGGTGTAGAGGCTAAGATGCTCAGCTGCTGACCCACAGGTTGCGGGATCAAGTCCTGGCTGTGGTAGCTGCATTTTAGATGGAGGCGAAAATCATGAAGGCCTGTGTGCTCAGACGTGGGTGCAGGTTGAAGAACTCCAGGTTGCCGCAATCTCTGGAGTCCTCCACTACGGCGTCTCTCTTAGCCATATGGTGGTTTTGGGACGTTAAACCTCACATATAAAATTAAGCAAGAGGAAGGTACAGAACAACTGCATTTTGCACTTTCTACAGAGCAGAAACCTGGAGGCTCACAAAGAGGGTTCAGCTTCATTTGACCATGACACATCATGCTATGGAAAGGAAAATCATATGTGTAACCTTAAAAGACAAGAAGAGAGCAGACTGGAATAGGAAACAAACCGGGGTAGGGTATATCATAATGTAAATCAAGAAGAAATGAACATGGTCCGGGAACGAAGCGCGTAGGCAGGATAACCGCTTGTTATTGAGAGTAACTGTTTGAATTCCCAGGAAAGGCAAGTGAGTGAGGGGGGAGAGAAAGATAGGTGAACAGATAAGATTAGGAAGAATACGGGTGTAAAGGGACAGCAGCAAGCACAAGATAGGTATTTGCCCTGCAATGGGCGTAGTCATGCTGATGATAATGGTGATGACAAAGAGCATTACCGCAACAAAAAGGACGCATTCTATCTGCGGCGGTCGCAATTGAAGGAGGCGAAATGAAAAAAAAAGCCTATCCAAAATGCGACGTCAGTGCTTGTTAAGGAACACCAATTGGACAAAACTTTCGGGGCCCTGCACTAGGCATTTCTCATAATCACGTCGTATTTTTCGGTAGTACAACCTCACAATTGTATTTAACAATAGGCATTAACATGATGCCACTGATGTAGTCACCACGATGGAGCAACCATATCCATATTCTCTGTTAATTCAACTAAAGAGAGCTCAGAAAAGCGTCGGTGAATAATGTAGCGTGTTTCATAGCAATGCCGTGGACATCAATGCCTATGATGCTAATGAGAAAGCCATCTTCTGGTTAGAAGGCAAATAGAAAGCGTTGCCTCCTTCCCCTCTTACAACAAGTGTTTTAGTGCCAATAATACGTGTCAAATTCTTTCAGCTGCGACTTATAATGCACTATTTGGAAATGCGTCAAACTTTCAAGGCGTAATTACAAAGCGCTTTTGTTACATGCCTGAATTAACAACAAAGAGATGTGCTTTTCTTCCCTATGGTAATTATTCAATTCATCAGCCTGTACCTAAAATATAAGTGTTCTCTTACCAGTGAGCGCCCATTCTAGCGTAAAAAGGAACCAAATTTTAGGCCCGAATTGAATGCACTGTTTCTTTCTGGTAACACTCGTTTCCAGCAAAGAAAAAAAATACTCATCATGTAGGTCCTGGAACGCGGTACGTAGAACGACCGTGGAAAATGGCAGTGTCTCTGAAAAAGTGATGCTATGTGGCAATAAGAAACGCAATTAAGGTAATTGAGCTTAGTTGTCTACTCGGTAGACCTCCACTATCGAGCCCACTGCGTTTCAAGCCCTTCATAGAAACACACCTTGCGTGACGCGCTTCTAAAGTTTGCACGTACAATTTTTTACCTGGCACCTGAAGGGCATGTTTGTACATCGTATATTTAGGCGATGCTGAGAGTATTCTAATTGTGTGTGAAAAACAAAATCACCGCAGTTTGCTCGCAGGTGCCTGCCTTAAGCATGCTGGCCTGGCAGCTTGACGTAGCATAGATTTGCAGTGCTTAAAAAGTACGTATATCTAGATTCAGAGAGCGCAGATGCTAGCATGGAAGAAAACTTCTGCAATTTTTTATGATGTGTAGGGGTGGTAGTTTAACCTATGTACTTCTCGCTTGTTTTTTTTTTGTCCAGACACGAAATTTCAACGCATGTGTAACTGGTTCCTTTTGTAGGTGTTGTGGGAGTCGCGTCCACGGCTAAACAATATCAACACGTGCTGCGCAGTGGGTGCGCATGTGGCCTACATATGGACTGCCAAACCGGCAGCATATACGCTGAGAGGTGGTTCGCCGACTTACTGGCAGTAAGCGTAGTACGTGCGTGCCGTGTCTACCCACCGCGGTGATCACAAGAGCGGAAGATTTCAGGTTGTGGAGTGCAATGTGCGCGTAATATCTTCCAGTTCTTCATGAAAAAACGAAATCAACAATATTTTTTCAAGTTCCTACAGCAGCGGCTGCCTCCTGTCTTGGGCCAGACGGCACAACCCTACATTATATAACGTGTGATGTGCTACATGTCGTTGCCACACCTCCAGTGTTCATCAAAATATACCTGATCCTTGGCAGGAACAGCACAGCACGCTGGCCAGGATATAAAGCCATGTCTCCAGAAAATGCATGGTCCTGCGATGAGGATAAGCAATGAATTAAGAAAGCAGTACGTTTAAGCAATACATCAAAATGTGTGCTGTGATTAACATTATCAGTAAGTGGGAATGCGTGTCATGGTTCCTCCTTCAATACAGACGCACGCCCGCACACACACACACACACACGCACACGCACACGCACACACACGCGCGCGCGTGCGCACGCACGAAATTTAGAGCAAAACGTCAACAACTCTACGAGGTATATTGCTCAAAGCACTGGCGTTCACCAACGCCGGTGTCAGTTGCTTGCCTGTTAATACTCTTGTTTTACGAATAGGCATTTTGAACGCACTCGTGTCGTGAAGTTTTACCGTAAAAAGGTGTATACTGGCTACGAGAAACCAAACACCATTCGGTATTGTTGTCACAAGTGAGCTGCATTGACAGTGCTATCAGTTACATCATTTTCAGCATTGTACGAAAGCACGCGCGCCAGCAGATGCAATGTGAGTGACGTCGTCCGACCCATCGCAGCTGCGGCGCTGAGCACGTGCGTAGCATAAATTTCTACTGAGTGCTTCCACATGGGTAAGTTATGGATAATTCTACGAGAGCGCCGACAGTAAAAACGCGAGAGAGCTCTAAGCCGGATTGATGGTGAAGTCGCGGCCCACAAACAGGTGCGAAGGCCGAGTGCCGGCAGCAACTTTGAATTGATAATCCGTAAACCTCCAAGGCCACCTTAAATCGCGAACGGGAACGCAAGTACCAATAGCGGGTGGCCCTGCAAACTACGCCACCGTTGTCAAACGCTTGCAACGGACAAGTTGTGTTGTGGGCACAAGGGCATCAACGTGATAATTGCGGGATCTCGTTCGGCCTGGCGAATACTCACTTTCTGCATGAGTTTCACCAGCGACTATTTAGCTTCGGCTGCGATGTCTGTGATTTGAGAACAACCACTATGATTAACTAATTGCGAAACGCACTTAGCCGCTCATTACAATTCTCTAAAACCGTGATCATGCGGGGCACATTGTGTGGCATGTCGAAACAACACTGTGATAAAACCAAGTCTAATTTGTGGCTACCCTTATTCAGGAGCCCAAACACGCAACCAATAATTGTAAAAAGCTTTAGTGCAGCGTCGGGTTGAACCTACTGCAGTTGTTTTCAGCTTTCGATGGGTAACCATGCAGTTGTACGGATTGCTTGGGCGTTAATTTTTAGTACATATAGTGATGAATATAGGTGAGTCATGGTTTTATTTCTAACTTGACACGGCCTCACAACGAAAGGGAAGAAAGCCTACTATGGTAGTTGGGCACCTGGGCCCGGATTCACAAAACTCATTTACGAAAACATTTTTGCGCAAGAAAAATTTTCTTGCGTAAGTCGATTCACGAAACGAAAAAACGTCGTAAGAGGCAATAGTTCTCACATCGGCCGCTGCAAACAAAGCGCGCTGTGACTGCCCGGGAACATGTCAGCGATGGTGATGCAGTTGCTATATTTGCTTACGTCACCGAAAAGTGCTCGTAAGTGGATTCACGAAGCGAAATTGTGCGTAAAAACAGCATGGCTGAGAAAAAATCCCAAGAGTGGTCCAGACCACTCTTAGGAACAATGTGGCTACTTAGAACCTGCTGCCACAGCGGTATACTTTGGTGCCCTGGCTGGTTTTGAGTTAATTCACGCCCATCAAGGGCTGCCTGATGACTGCTGGTGCGTTTTTATTTCTTTCGGCGCTTTGAGCTTCGCGTGTTGTTTCCCTTGTACGCAGTGGATGGTGTTGACAACCACCATCGTCCAATAAGTTCGGAGTCGCAGTAATTGAAGAATTCTATTGGGCGTCAATGGCATAAAACTACGCATGTAAAGATTTGTGGTTGGATGAAAACGAATGTGATACGTGAATGGTCGGCGCATTCGAACGCGGCAATGCATAGGGTCAACCTTATTTGTTATGTTGTTGTGTTGCGCCCCATCTCATCCAATTAAAAGTGCGACTCGAGATCCTTGCCTCATTGGTGGAAATTACCACCAAAGAGGTTCATGGGAGCACATTCTTCGCATGCTATTGGAAATAAAAATGAGAGGAAGTTTTCAGTGAGTGGTTCCTAAAGTTTGTGCTCTAGTGTACTTTCATTGGCTCTAACTGTCCAATGGTTGCGCTCTCTGAAATACAGCTGTCGATACACTTTGGGACGATCTGGAACAAAGCGTACTTTGTAAACCAAAGCGTATTAGGGGTGCGCATGATTACGCATGGAACTACAAACAAATCATGCATCTTCACCTTCACTGTTCAGACACCGATATGAACCGTGATACCATGGCAAGCAATCGGAATGAAATGACCCTAGTAACTTTGTATGACACCAAAAATATGCCAACTCTCACGATTCTAGAGCAAACCTTGGCTGAATTCATCCCTGCGTCATTTACCAGCCATTTACCTTGGCGCACGAACATCATTCAAAAGTAGAGCGAGCCACTGACATGTATTTTGTGCGACGCAGCGACCACTTGACCTGAGAATAATAGCTTTGCGAAGGCGAATCCCCTGTCGCATGCTCTGATCGAAGCAGACGACAAACACGAGCAGACGACGGCTTGGCCGACAGGCACAGCTTGTGATTGGTTGTGAAGCAATACCCTCTACATCAGCTCACTCCGTGACGTTGCCAAAACACTTCTTTCATCTGGCAAGGCTGTCCTGTTCGTCATATCACCCCCCTCGCACATAAGAGAAATTTTTTCCACGCCGTGAAAATAGTGCAAGTACTTTCTAAGAGCTCTCTTATCATCTTATGTGCTGCGCAGTTGTCGAAAACAACATGGCGTCGTAAACAGCATATCGGTCGGTGCGACTTTCAGCAAACGCTTCTCGCACGAGTTACTTCAGCGTTTGACCGGATGTGTTGTGATTACAGCAGCTCTTTCGGTGCGTGTAAGCAGTGCGGAAAGCTGTGGCAGTGCAATGGTGTACGGTGAAGCGCAGTGAAGCCTGTGCGTCGGTGTGGTTATCAAGCGGGGATCGGCGTCGATGTATCGACGACAACTGGCACTCGAGAAGCCTGCAATGTGTGTTTGTGTGCCGGTAACAGTTCGTTCGCTTGACTTTCTAGTCTCTCAGTTTGGTGCTGCTCGACATTTCGGATTGACAGCGCTTTGACACGTTACTTGAGTGACCCCAAGTACGTACGGAAACGTATGAACTACGCGCTCGGTTCTTGCTTCGCCACTAGTTAGCCCGCACGCTTCTATTTACTTGAGAGCAATGTACTGTTCGGGAGTGAAACGATGTTCGTTGTGAACAGTGGTGCTGTGTTGACGTTCCAAGACTTGTGAACAAGCTGTGCTCGTGTGACCGAAACTTGAAAGACAGCGTTGATAACTATTTTGCCCTGCGAAGTCGTGGTGGGGCAGCTTGGCGCTTTTGTTTGTTAAGTCGTCACTTCTCCTTTTTGTGATAGCCATAGTCCTAGCGCTGTGATGTGATCAACCAAAACTGCGAGATGCTACATTCTGTTGTGGATCGTGTTACTTTGGAAGCGCGCCTAGACTGTTCTTCGGTAACAAATTGAGAGTTCTATGTGGCAGCGAGAGCCCGTGAACGTCAAGCTTCCCTCCAGCCCCCCAAAAAAGCAAAGATTTCACCGGTGCCTTGCTTTTGATGAAGTTGTAGGCCAATATCGCCTAACTACAGGTTTCCCAGTTCGTCTGGCCATCATTTTGCACTTCACTAGAGCCTTGACAACAGCCGGTCATGGCCAGTTCTTACACTTTATCAATGGACGTGCACGCCTGGCCAGCCCTTCATTGCTGTCATTGGCAGCTTCCAGTCTGCAGATGCCCTTTGCCTGTTCACCGTACTTGGTTCCTTATGACACCGACTGCCACTAAATGTTGCCATCGGTGAGTTCACCTTGCAGAACTAAATTTCGCTGGTACTATAATTCACGCCGTTCTATAACGTGTGCAAGTTTTTAAGCCCATCAGATGTAATGTTTCGCTATGGTAAGTTGAAGCATGAAATATTTACTACCACTGTTATATACATACATATATTATGGAGCAAATACATAAAAAGTTTTTTGTGATTTGATACAAGTGAGCTCTTGTTTGATTATGAGGTTGGGCCTGTCGATTGACCACGTTTGATAGTTGGAAAGTTTATGTGAATTTATTTTTCAGGAGCCAGGTTGCACTTAAAAATTTATGTTATCTTGGAAAATTAGTTCTATAGATGATTACCACTGTGGTAGTACTATACTTCAGTAGGATGTATATATTGCGGTACGTAAATTTTACATGAGGCTTCAGTTTATTTCAAAGTGATTATAGCAAACTTTGGTCACTTTACCGAAGTGATAGCTTCCTCAATTGAGTATTAGAAGTGAGTGCTTTTAATGATTGTTTTTAAATATCTTGTTTTTAGCTCTTCACAGATCGCAGAGATTGGTTTGTTAAGGTCCTGTGATGCATCGGTTGCACATTCTGGCACACCAATCCTCATCATTACTTGGAGCACCAGTACAAAAATAGGAAGGACACGTTCTCCCTAACTGTGCAAGCCTATGTCACTGCTCGGACTGTTATCATTCAGCGGATGTGGCGTGGAAGCATGCATGGCAGCCTCATCTGGAAGGACTGCAATCTGCTTGGGAGCTTCGAGGGCACAAAACTGCCTAACGGCTGGCTGCAAGGATAGTTTTTCATTAACACAAACGATTACGTGAACACCACTTACTGTGCACAAATTGAAAACCCAAGCATGGTTGCTTTCAGTGGATACCTGTAATATTCTTACACATAATTCTTATTCAACATTTATAGGACTAAATTGCAAGATAATTAAGAATGTTGAAAGCTGAAAGCCTGCAGCTTATGAATGAAACTCCAATAATCTGAGACTCAAAAGCTTGTGCTTTGAAACGAGCACAAATACTTTGATTCCTTATTGAGCTCTCCAGCTTGTGACTCCCTCTGTGGATCAAGTGCTCTCGAAGGAAATGGCAAGTGGGT